CCTAGCAGGGGGGGGGGGGGGGGGGTTGGGGGGTTGGGGGTGGTTCCAAAATTTTTGTTTTTAAAATCATATCGGATATCGCAGTGTTTTTACTAAAAATGAGACGCAATCAATATTTAATTATTCAATATTTAAACACTGGAACTGATTTTAAACATACTCATTTGTTTTTAAATTTGTTTTCCACGAAATAAATAAAATTGCACAAAAACTTGCTCATTTTACTCAATTGGGTCTCAGCTGTGGAAAAATGACGTCATAATCGAAAAACACGTCATAAGTTTAAAATGGCGTCTGTAAACATGGCTCGTTCGGGAGAGGAAATATATGAAGAAAAGAAGCTAACATATGAGGAATACATGTTTAATCATATACGGAAGAAGTATAAACGGAGAAAGAAAAGAAAAGGAAGCTTTCCTTACCTTTGTAAGTTCTTTAAGGCGCATAAAAAATATTTTCTTCTAAAGATATTAAGGTCGAGACCATTTAGGCTAATAAAAACAGATTCCAGATAGGTATAGTGCTTGTACATGTACGTTGATTCATCCATGTAGGTGCGTCTACTTGAAAAGCAACTAGAGTATCTGTCAAGATTTCTTGAATTTATTCTAAAATCTAAAGAATGTATAGTCAAGACAACGAGTTATTTCGGTTTGCAAATCCGATGAATCCACACTTTTCAAAAGTTATGTCCCTTGATCGCCATCTTAGGGGATAAACCCATACAATCCACACAGTAGCCTTTGTAGTTTTCAGGTTTTTAACTTCGTCAATACATTTGACTTTTAAAATGCGCTGCCTTTATTGTACTGATTACCCCAAGATGGGGCTACCAACAAATTGAAAGAAAAAAATTAAACACAATGGATTTATCACAGCACGCCCAAGTATTTGGTAGCATTAAGAGGAGAAATGACGTTTCTTGACCTTTTGGTTGACCCCACAAAGGGAAATAACTTTTGCAAAGTGTGGATTGGACTATATGATCACCGGTAGCCTTCTTGGCCTTAGGTCTTGGTTTATAGTACTGGTACTAGCTGCAATAATGTAGCCCTGTCCGATTTTTTTTTTTTTTTTTTTTTTTTGAGAAAAATATCAGATAAAAAAAATCGGAGAGGGCTACATTATTGCAGATATAGTACTGGTGTCTCATTATATTGCGGTTCTTAAACTTTTGCATAAAAAGTGTAATTAGATTTTTTTAAATTTAACAATCAGCAAATGATATTCATAAACCAATCTATGGTCTAACTATTTAGTTTCAAATTATTTCCTAAGCTTGCATCGTTTGTCTATATTTTAAAACAGTGAGTCTTATTCAGCTCCTAAATTGGAGAGTCGCATAGTATCGCGGTATGGAAAACATGTGGTTGAACTGGACTTCAATTCTAGATCTTATTTATAACTTTACGAACGGATGTAATTCTACATAAAAAATGAAAAATTATACAAACTAAAGACTTTCTAAACATGAACTTTATTTCAGGAATGTTTTTAATTGTGTGCGTTATTGGTGTGTGAATCACACAGACATGTCACGTAGGCATATTCATGAAGCGCTTCATGAAAAATATGCCTACGTGCAAGTCTGTGTGATTCACACACCAATTATTCACACTAAACTGAAAAACATTCCTTATATTTATATTTTACATGTTCGGAAGCAGCTAATGCGAAATGTTTGAATTTTCGCTGCCCTATATCGCTGCATTTTTACGTCGCTGCAGCCTCATTGTGACGTCACGTTAACGCACGTTTCTCCGTGTATATTTCTACGCGTGAGTATACACGAAAATGGTTTTAAGGTAGGTCGCGGGTTTGCTTTCGTCATCAATTTTGGTACACAATTTCGACGATTCGAGCGGCTGTTTTGTGCACATTTGATTATGACGTTATTTACGTCACAAAGGCAACGTCGCGTTGTTTTCCGCTTAATTCTCTGCAAATGATTTTAAGTGTGTACGAATCAAGTAGATTAATACAAAGTGCATGCCATTGTACGTAAACCTCGTACATGCTTTATAATTAAATTTCAGTCTGAACTTTCATGTGATTACTAGTATATGTAATGCCCTAGGAAAAATTAAATACAATACTGAATGAAAGGAATAATTTATAATGTAACTACTAGTATTACTAAACTGCTAAAAGTCAATCAGAATAAGTCAGCGTGAAAGTTATGATTGCAGAAAGAGTTATCATAAATAAAATTGTTTAGAGGAAACTTGAGGGGTTGTATAAATTGCGCACGTTATTTGCAATTCGGGGAAACATGCGTATAGCATCATGACTGCTAATCAAAGCTGGGGCGAAAATATACGTATAATTTTCAGGATGGAATCAATCTTCAACACTAAAAACGTATTAAATTTAATACATGCATTTTCCTCTGTTTTTTCTTATCATCATCATAATTATTATTAAGTATTATTTGGTTATTATGTATCTAAATCTCGTCTAGTCGCCTTGTTTTACTGGCTAATAAATTGTGAAATGCTTTCAAAATTCAAATTTATACAAACACCTGAACTGTAAGACCTATATGACACTGTAAACAATTTACGAGTATTTTTTTCTATTATTAAAAGTTTTAAACAAAAGCTCTAATCTAAGTGTAAAAGCTCAATTCAAGTATATGTATTTTACATTTTGTGCATGGAAATTTGATTTAGAGAATTCGAAATTAACAAATGTTATAGAGTAAGGCCCACATACTAGCTTGCGTCTAATATATATATAGAAAGGAAATTGCCCCCCCCCCCCCCCCCCGGCTAATTTCCCGAGTATCTGGAAGTTTTTTCTTTACCGTTTTTTAATAAAGTGATCAAATTTATGTGTTATGCCTGAAATTCTTTTCAGGAACATATATTTTATCACTCGCGGTGTTGTCGATGCATGTTAATTCTCATGCACGAGGACTGTTTATAACCTTCATTCCGACTCTGTGATTAGAATATGAATTTCACAATACTAGTGAAAATAAGTTGCTGGTCATCCTAATTCATTTTCGCAATAAGTTAAATGAGGAATAAAATTAAATTTTGCGTTTATCAAAATATTTATATTCGTACGGTAAACGTTACAACGTTCAACAAATGACGTTGTAGACATAAATAACGCCATAAACGCAACATTTCAGCAATATAAAAGGAAACTTTGAATTTTTTTAGCGAAAAATCTACCGAGAAGACATATTGATTTTTTTATATCAATGGTTTTGATTTTACCTCATCTTCACATTTTGAAATTCCTGACTAATTCGTCTACGTCTTTAAAAAGTTATCCAACATTTTTAAAAGAAACTATTTTCACAAAATTGGCTTAAAAACGTCATTTTTTCCATATATTTCAATAGTAAAGCGTAAAAAGTGTACTAATGACAATACCGCGTTTATAGTAATATAGCATTAAAACTACGTAGGCAAATTCTATAAAAATTGCAGATAATACGCAGTAAATTCTCAGGAACATTATATCAAATTTTCAGGATATGTTTTCTCGTTAGAATTTTTATGCAGTAAACCCGCGACCTACCTTAAGGTAAGTCACTCCTCAGCTTTTTAGAAAAGTTCACGCAGAAGCTTTTACTTCAAAACTACTTATCAAAATTCAATTTTTATAACATATTTATAATCAAAAATGTAAATTTTTAACATTCAATGAAAAAACTGCTCAAAAATCAACAAAGAAGCAAGATTTATGAGGGACTATTTCTTTTGGTGGAAGGATATTCAGCAGAAAATTCTGCAAATCTGCACATTTGTAAAATTTAATGTAATGGAAATTTAGCCTCACATACTTTTACTTGGAGAATATTTTCCGTTTTGATATTGCTAAAAATATTTAATATAGGTCTTAATTTATATTTTTAGACTAAGTTTTACACCTTCCCTCAACAAACTTTCCCAAAAAATGAAAATATATGAAAGAAGTCAAGGTCAAATTTACACCATTTTTAGCCTGAAAATCACATATTTTGACAAATATTTCAAAATTAACATCACTGACCCCACCTTTTTCTTTCATTATTTTAAACTACTCGATACTTGTGACTGATCAGCACTCAAGTCGTAAAAAGTTTGATATAAGAAAATTTTTTATTGCCTATTAAGTTTTTTAATACCCCAAATATGTTATTTTTTAGTGCAAAAAGGTGAAACAATAATTTACGCGCATTAATTTGTAAGAATTATTTAATGTTAAATATTATTCAAACTATTTTACGTAAAATAAGATTATATTTATTGCCATGCTTACATCTAATCAAATATAATAAGGGTTAAAGTAATTAACCAGAGATGAAATTTAAGTGCAAAAAGGTCAACTTAAATGTACCGTAGATCAGTAGGATGCACACTGACCCCCTATTTTCTTTGCGATTTTGAGTTACACTTTATGAGTACTTATCCAAAATATACTTCTCAAAAAATCCTTGATATAACAAATTTCAGGAGTGACTTACCTTAAGGGTCCTCCACACCATGTGACCTGTGACGTACATAGAGAAAAAATATCTTTACTTCCGGTTTAGTATCGTTTTCTATGATGTCGATTTCACAGGGAACCGCTTTGAAGCTCTCTAAAGCCAAGAAGGTAGGAAAATCATAAAGATCTTATAAACGCTTTAAAGCACCCCAATCTCCGTTAGAAAATAAGTGCTTAAATGAGATTGACAATGTAAACAATGAATGCGGGAATAGAAGACTTGGAAGAGAAGGTCCTGCAGAAGGAATTTAAACAAACCCTTACTGTTTTGCAACAGGATCATTCATATGTAACGGGTAAATATGTGTTTGTTCAATATACACGTGAACAGAAATAGTACGACGTTGATTAAGGATAATCTTTTCTCTATAAATAAGTATCAGCTGTTTATATTTGCCTTTCCGTGATATAGTTGTAAATGAGTTTGTGTATGAAAAAAAATTGATGAACAAGTGATTAATACGAATCATTACGATGTATACATTTTTAGTTCCTGCTGATGAACATCATGAACATCCGTCTCATTTACTAAGTAGCGAAGATGAATATCATGTCAGCGAAGACGATGATGACGAAGTTGACGATGATGACGAAGTTGACGATGATGAAGAGGATGATATTTTACAAGATGACAATGACCTAATATCTCATGAGGGGGAAACAGACTTTTCAATCGAAGGTAAAAAGCAGATGAGTGACATAACATATACTGGTATATAAAATAGAATAGAATTTATTACCAATCAAGGCCCATTGGGCATAAACATATAACATCTATAATTGCATATATTTATTCATTGAACCAAAGAGTATTTCTACCTTCGTAGCTATTAATATTATATGTTGCAGCGTTCGGTCTTTGGACCAAAAAATGCAGATAATACAAAAAGTAGGTAAAAATAGCCACTTTGAGTAGGTTTAAATACCTATGTAACAATTAATAGCTATGTAGGTAGAAATAGGCTTTGGACTGGACCTGTTGAAAAGTTCATCGGGGGGCACTTTTGCTAAAGAAGCATAACATCTATTAATACATGCCCTTCTTTAATTGTTAGGCCGGAGAGTAGTGGAATTGTCTCTCCTGGGCAAAAAATTGGATGAAGGATGTTCAAAGTGTCATTGCCCGTTAAAATTATCATCATGCATTGGTGAGACAAGATATGGATTAGGTAAAATACATGTAATTTTTAATGATGATTTTGTACAAATAAACTTCAAGTATATCAAGTATTTAATCTTCTACTTACATCAATGTTATATTTTGTAGGAAGTAATCTTCACATAAAATGTGAAATGTGTAATAGAATCAATTACGTCCCAACAGGAAAGAAACATGGAGGGACCATATGGGATGTGAATACTAAGTTAGGAGCAGGTACAATATATATTTCTCTATATTTACATGATTTATGAAGTATCTTAATTTTGTATACAATATCAAAATAGTTCTGTTTATGCATATATTATACCTTTATATTGTGCATAATCTTTTTTTATGTGGACATTGGTACATGCATTTATAAATCTATTTCTATATAGCAATACTGTTTTGTGGTCTTGGGGAAACCATCATAAACAATCTGTTTGCTGCTCTGAATCTCCCATATGTGTCTCCAACTACTTTAAAAAGAAGAGAAAGAGAAACAGGCCATATATTTGAAGCTGTTGCAGATGGCACTTGTGATGCTGCAATCAAAGAGGAAAAAGAAAGGTATACCAGCATAAATTTTACTGTCTGTTGACTACTTTATTATTTAAAATGATTACTAAAATTTATCAGCATGGTTTGAATATAAGTTTCTGTACAATAGATGTGAGGATCCAGAAAATTACACAGCTTCTTTTGATGCTGGATGGCAAACTAGAGGCAGTGGAAAAAATTATGCTAGTTTGTCAGGTATATGCATTACTTTTGATATTACACTATCAAATTTGTTTTAAATTTGAAATTGAAAATAACTGCATAAGGACATATTGTTAATGTAACAATATATTTAAAGCAATACAATCAAATATGTGTAGTAATATAAAACTATTTATTTCTCGCAGGACATGCAAGCATGATAGGACATAATACCGGCAAGGTCATATCCTATTCTGTGCGGTGTAAAAAATGTAGATCATGTGAACAGGATGAGAATAATAATGACCACGATTGCCGTAAAAACTGGGATAAGTCAGCAAAAGCCATGGAGTCAGATATGGCAATCCAAATGCTTCATGAACTGAAAGGAAAGGACTTTCATGTCAAAAATTTGATTATGGACAATGATGCCACTACAATAGCTAAAGCTAAATCTGAATTTGATCCTTCCATCCAAAAATTTGCTGACTTTAACCATACCAAAAAAAATTTTACAAACAGATTATATGAATTGAAGAAAAGCAAAAGGTACCAAATTCTTGGACCCAAGACCATTAAACATTTAAGCAAATGCTTTGCATATGCTGTTAAGTCTCAGACTGATGGCACCAGTCTGAAAAAGAATTTAGACTCCATACCATATCATATATTTGGAGACCATTCATTCTGTGATATACAATGGTGCAAGTATATGGAAGATCCTGATAATTACAAACCCCGGAATCTTCCATATGGAAAATATTTATCTGGAGATGATTTGCTTTCAGATTTAAAGGGAGTATTTTCCATATTTTCCAACAATGCTGAAAAACTGTGTAAGATGGGTAGTACACAAAGCAATGAAAATTTTAACAGAGTAGTTGCTGCTAAGAATCCAAAGACACATTTCTATGGTGGATCAGAAAGCACATCTTTCCGTGTTGCAGCAGCAGTGGCACAGAAAAATATTGGACATGATTCATTGTCAAAGGTAAATTTTTGTTTAAAAATTCTAAAATTTCAAAATATATAAACTGGTGTTTTATGTTACTGCAGATCTACTATTAAAATATATTTTAGGTGTTTGAAGGCCTGTTACTTTCTCCTGGAAAATGCACAGACACCCATGTCAACAGGATGAAACGAAAACGTGAAAAAGAAAGAAATAGGAAAAACAGTGTTGATTTTAAGAGAAGACGGTTTCAACTGAGAAGTGCTAAATCAAGTCAAGTAAGTAAACATGCCAATGTAACACATAATTCTCATCTCCATCTATTTTTTCAATCGCATTGATCCCTTACTAGTAGCAGTAATAAATTTTTCTACATTTTTTATATACAGGTCTTCACGTCTGAAATCAAAGAAGGGCCAACTTATGAGTCTGGTGTTGACCTTTCTGAAAAAAGCACCAGCTTGGAAGAAATTCCGGATATTGCTCCAGCTCCTTCTTTGGAGAGCTGTAATCCTATGCCCAACTGCAGTTTTCTATATTTTGATTTAGAAACAACTGGCTTTGGTAAGGGATAAATCACAAACCGTATAATCAAAATTTATTTATGTCATTTATAGTAACAATAACTGAAAAAAATCTCTTTTTTTATACATGTATAAGCTTAAATCACTCATTTGAATTCTTTAAATAGGACCGACTGCTGAAATTGTACAGTTAGCCTGTGTTTGTGGAGAAGAGAGCTTCAATAGGTATGTCCTTCCTCACTCAACCTTTGATGCGAAAGCGTCAGCTGTTACTGGACTCCATGTAGTTAATGGACAATTGTTTTATAAACAAACAAAGGTTGACTCAGTGGACATTGAACTTTGTCTGAAAGAATTTAATACCTGGTTGCAAAGGTTTAATAAACCATTGCTAGTGTGTCATAATGGCAAAGCATTTGACTCCATTGTTCTTGTAAGGAATGTTTTAAAATATCCTGATTGCGGTTTGATGGCAGCAGTCACTGGATTTATCGACACACTACCTGTATTTAAAGAGGTTTTACCTAATCGTGCTACCTATAAACTTGTTAACCTTGTTAGTGAAACGATGGGAACAACTTTTGAAGCTCATTCTGCATTAGAGGATGCTAAAATTCTTCAGACTTTAGTAATGCACCACAAGGTTTGTGAAGAGATTTTATTGAAGAACAGTTTTGGAGTTGATTTTGTTAAAGATAGCATTCTACACAAGACCAAGACCGAGGAACTTTTGAATACCCTCAAACCTTTACAATCATGCTTATCTAAATACATGCTTAAAAAAATTGCAGAGTCAGGTTTGTCCTACACACATTTGAAACTTGCCTGTGAAAGAGGGGGGCTTGAAGGTATACAGCAAATTTTGGGTGAGAAAAATGAGAATGGTGGTGCAAGGGTAACTAAGAACAGGAACATTATAGAAAAAATATTTACTCACTTTTAATGAAAAATGATTTATTTTTACAGAGGTAGAGAAATTTGTGAGTATGATTTTATATTTCTTTGTGGCATGTGACCTGCAGACAAAAGTAAGTATGTGTAGTCATATAACAGCTTTGTTTTTATTTTTTCTTCATTAATTCATATTTATTTCATAGCTTTTCATTTTTCCTTTTCATTTATGTTGTTTTAATTTTTTAATTTGCCTGTTAATAAGTGTCTGTATTTGTTTGTGTATGCAAAGTACATGTCATTTTTGGGATATAACCTGCAGTAAAAAGTAAGTATGTGTAGTTATATAACAGCTTTGTTTTTGTTTTTTTTTAAACATCAATTCATATTTATTTTATAGCTTTTCATTTTTCCTTCTCATTTATGTGTTGTTTTAATTTTCTGTGTTGCCTGTAGTGTCTGTATATGTTTGTGTATGTAAAATACATGTTCTTATGTCATCATCTATCTGTGTACTGTGCATGAAACTTTCCCACTTTATAGCATATGATAATTTTTTTTTATAATCATCATCAATACATTAATTATTTCAATTGATTGGTCTACTTTCATTATTTATTAAGCATCAAAATAATTAACAGTTAATTTTCTTTGGAAAAGTCCAATTCACTTGCTCAGATTTGCTTAAATGTATCACTGAGTTGCTTTTCTGTGTGTCATAAATGTTACAATAATATTTATACTTCTTTTTTCATGTTAAAAAGTACTAAAATGTTCTGTTTAAAATGCGGTGTCCACCCAGTGTATTTGAGACCTTGGTAACAGGAAAGATAACTCTTAAAAAGGAACTTTGAAACTATGAATTTTGAAAATATTTTTTTATTTATAATTTGCATCAAATTTATTCAATTTCATGTGATATTTCATGTCATGAACTTCTATTGTATATTTTCAGAAGGTTATCCAAATATTTCAGGTGCAGATTTAAAAGAAAATGCCTTATTTCATTTTTAGATGATTTTATTAATTTTTAATAAAAAATTGATGACTTCATAAATTCTGTTTTTGTTATTTTTTAATGAGATAAGTAATAACTAGGGGGATAAAAATAACCGGTAGGTGCTATTAATGAAGACTTGTTGAAAAAAAAATTATTTATACTTTTTGAATATTTTCTTTAAAAAATCATATAAAATAAATAACAACACCTATTCAATTCTAAATGATTGATTTGCTTGCTAAATGATATGCTTTTTAAAATAAGAACACAAGTTGAAGGTGTGTGGAGGACCCTTAAACTAAATTTACGCCATATATGCATGACTTTAACATTTTTGACAATATTTAGTTAAATTTACCACGGTTTATATTTAATTTTTGTTTCAGGCTTGTTCTTCATTGTCGATAAATTGAGGGACATTTTGAGATCGGATCCGGGGGAATACAGCGGGTTAAAAACTGTGTTGGGGTTCCCCACGGGAGCTCTTATAGCATTCGGTAGGTTTTACTTTATTTTGATATTTTTTTTTCTTTTTGAAAGTATGTTTTCTTCTTATCAAATATACATGTACCGGTATATACTGTGTATTGTCATTTGTTATTGAATTATTTAATCAATTGAAAAGACACTTTCGAATTTGCACATTTGTTTATAAAACAAACGTAATGAATATATTAAACATTTTGTATTGATTTAATTTAAAATATTTTTTTACGTTATAGTTGAGCAAAAACAGCTTTCATAGTAATTACATGTATCACATGTTTAAAATTTTTTTTATTACTATGGGTTGTTTAAAATTTTCATATTACATTAATTTTCTTCTTTTTTTAAGCTCACCTGAGCTGAAAGCTCAAGTGAGCTTTTCTGATCACATTTTGTCCGGCGTCCGTCTGTCTGTCTAGCTGTCTGTATGTCTGTAAACTTTTCACATTTTCGACTTCTTCTCAAGAACTGCTGGGCCAATTTCAACCAAACATTCTACTAAGTATCCTTAGGTGAAGGGATTTCAAGTTTGTTCAAATGAAGGGCCACGCCCTCATTCAAGGGGAGATAATTAATATGAATTAATGAAAATTTGGTGGCATATTTTGAAAATCTTCTTCTCAAGAACCACTGTGCCAGTAAAGATAAAACTTATGGGGAAACATCCTCAGGTAGTGTAGATTCAAGTTTGTTCAAATCCTTACCCCCGGGGGTAGGGCGGGGCCAAAATGGCCGACCTAAGTTTTACATAGAAATATATAGGACAATTCTTTAAACATCTTCTTCCCAGGAATGACAAAGCCATAATTCATCATATTTATATGGAAGCATGCTCAGGTAGTTTAGATTCAAGTTTGTTCAAATCATGACTCCCCGGGGTAGGGTGGGGCCAAAATGAAGCATACTCAGGTAGTGTAGATTCAAGTTTGTTCAAATTATGACCCCCGGGGTAGGGCGGGGCCAAAATGGCCGACCAAAGTTTTTAAAGATATATATAGGAAAATTCTTTAAAAAAAAATCATTTTCTAAAAAATAGCAAATCCATGATTGGTCATGGGACTACTTTTGGATTTAAACTTCACAATAAAAAGCCATTTTTTTACTTTTTACTATCCTTAGTGCTCAGGTGAGCGATGTGGTCCATGGGCCTCTTTTTTTTTTTTTTAAATTATTTTTGGCATTAATGAAATGAATATATTTTTATATAGGTCTTTACTTGGCAGTACTGGCGCCATTAGATCTACAGAAAGAGACAGCCGAGTTATTTGGCGGACTCCTAGGTCTTGGGTTAGCGACCGGATATGCGATTTCCGCGCAAGTGCGATGTATCTGTTGGTTGCTTGTTCCCACATTCTTCGGAAAGAAAGGACGATCATTTATAGGAACCTATGCGATTATATTTCTTATCGCAGGTAAATTACGTCACTTCCCGCAATCTTCCATGATATATATATATTGGGGATCCTGGATTTTTTCCAATAAGGTGGCGGAGAGCACCTAAGTTGAATTTTCCAGAAAAAAAGGAGTTTATATTTAATACAGTCAGTAATTTATAAAATCAATAAGATATAAACTTTAAATTAAATTAATACATGTTTACATGTACATGTAACAATAACTCCAATCTTAATTTTATTTATTAATTCTATGTGTTTTGATTGGACGATAAAAATTCAAGAAAAAGTTTACACATCGATGAATTTTTCAATCAGAACTACTTTCTTGACTGTTGTAAAAACAATGAAAACAGATACTTCTAGTCCGTTTTAGCTAAGCTATGATTACAAGAAACTTGAAATAAAAAATGAATTAATAAAACTTTCATTTTTATCATCACTAAAACAAAAGTCCATAAGCTAAGTTTGAACAACCATTGAGTTATATCAGTCCTTTCCATTGGAAACGGAAGACCTTAATTCGGTACATCCCACTCCTTATTTTAAGAATCGGTAGGAGAAGAAAGTAGTGCAGGAAAATTACAAGTTCCTCAATTTGCAGACTTGCATAAAAGAAATCTGGCAGATGTACTGAACTGAGCCTCATACTTGTTAATTAGCAGTATCTTTCCTATGATAAAAGCTTGGGAAATGTAATTTATGAGGAAGATCAGCCGAATTATTTTGTGTATTGAAACGCCAGTGAGAACTCTGAAATTTCCCTCTTTCACTTTCATTTTAGAGGTTCTACCGAAAAACGAATCTGACATGCCACCATCAATTCGAGCATTCCTGCATTGCAGAGAGCTGATGTGTGTTATGAGATGATAAATCATGTGTGAATTCACACATGATTTATCATCTCATAACACACATCAGCTCTCTGCAATGCAGGAATGCTCGAATTGATGGTGGCATGTCAGATTCGTTTTTCGGTAGAACCTCTAAAATGAAAGTGAAAGAGGGAAATTTCAGAGTTCTCACTGGCGTTTCAATACACAAAATAATTCGGCTGATCTTCCTCATAAATTACATTTCCCAAGCTTTTATCATAGGAAAGATACTGCTAATTAACAAGTATGAGGCTCAGTTCAGTACATCTGCCAGATTTCTTTTATGCAAGTCTGCAAATTGAGGAACTTGTAATTTTCCTGCACTACTTTCTTCTCCTACCGATTCTTAAAATAAGGAGTGGGATGTACCGAATTAAGGTCTTCCGTTTCCAATGGAAAGGACTGATATAACTCAATGGTTGTTCAAACTTAGCTTATGGACTTTTGTTTTAGTGAATGAATAAAAAGGAGATAAAAAGGACTGACAGACGGGAATGTTTTGTTTATGTCACTGTCGGATCACGAGTGTGAATTTTAAAAAATCGCTGATCAGTGTGATCATGCTGTCATTTTCTCGACGTTCCATATCAGCTCAGATGGTATCGTTGTGATAGGAAAAAGAAACGTACCTCAGACTCTTGCCTTTTCCGCATCAAATTCATATATTTACATCCTACAGATCCAATATTCTCCCTAAATCTTTGAACGAACCAGAGCAAATCGAGGACGTCGTCGGTCTGCAACTTTCGCTATAATGACGTTGTCGTTAATGTCAACATGGCCATGGTCAAGGACGAATTATTCTGGAGAATACGCGTATTTACGATATTTGTTGTCTTAAGCAACATTCAATGAGTTTTTACAAGTATATTTATTGATCGATTTGACAATTTAAGTTGGATTTTATCGATATTCATCTTGTATACGTTTCTTTGCGGCATAAAGTATTCCTACGCCGTACAAAATAACGGATTGTATGGCGGCTTCAAAGAGAAATAATTTTAATGATTTAAAAAATTCGTAATTGGAATTATAAGAATTTAACGTTCTTTTTTCAGAATTTATCGATGTGTAAACTCTGCCTTTTTACTCACAAACTTTACATAAAACAGCATCCGTAAAAAATAAAAATGTATCATCATTTTTAAAAGCTACTTTTTACAACCTTTATTTCCCGGCCTTTATCATGTACTGGCATTTTTGAGAGTATTTCTTAATATCCACTGCCCTTTCCTTTATTTTATCCGTTTCAAAAATTCGTAGGATTTTTTTTTTACTTTTAATTTATTTCATTTAAAAAAAACAAAACTTTAAATTTTTTTAAAATATTTAGAAAGGTATACTACTGAATTTGTTAACATGTTTTTTCTCTGTGTTGTATTTACCCTTTTTCTATTAGTTTCCTTATTATAACTTTATGTATAATTGTCCTTGGAGTGGCAGTAAATACAAAATAAACAAAAATTGTATTTACTGCCACACTGTTAATTGATACTTACGTGTTTACAACCACCCAGTAATTTCACAATTTACAACATGACATTTTTTTAACAGGACCAATTCATAACCTCGCTACAAACGGCAGAGAGGTGATCCGCTCCCTGACTTGTGCCGTGGAGTTAGCCATTAACCAGACGTCTGCTAAATGGGAGCTGAGGACCAAACCATTCCGCAGGATCATGTCACAGTTTGTGGTAAAATAGCTTATTTATGAATGTTAAGTCTAGATGTACTTTGCATTGAACTTAAAAAATACAAATTTATGAAATACAAGATGTGTTTGTGAAACACTATGCGCCCGGCGGCAACAAATTGAAAAAAACATATTTTAGCATAAAGGTCACAGTCAATGTCACAAGATCATTTGCCTTGGTGTCATTTGAAAGATCTTGATTAGTGAAGTATGCATACCAAATATAACGTCTCTATCTTTCATGATTCAAAAGTTATGGAGAAGGTTCAAAAAAGCTATTGTTAGCATATAAGACAGTCAAGGTCACAAGGTCATTGACCTTGGTGTCATGTGAAAAGGCTTCATTAGTGAAGTATGCATGCCAAATATAAAGTCTCTATCTTTCTTTGTTCAAAAGTTATGGCAAAGGTTAAAGTTTGCCATCAAAAAAGCTATATTTAGCATATAGGTCACAGTCAAGGTCACAAGGTCATTGACTATGGTATCTTTTGAAAAAGCGTAATACTTGTTGAATGTACACAAAATATGATGATTTTATCTTTTATGGTTCAAAAGTTGTGACAAAGGTTAAAGTTTGCAAAAAATCCCTATTTTTAGCATGTAGGTCACAGTCAAGGTCACAAGGTCATTGACCTTGATGATGTCATTTGAAAGAGCTTCATTGGTGGAGTGGGCATACCAAATATGAAGTCTCAACCATTCATGTTTCAAAAGTTATGGCGAAGGTTAAATTTTGCAGACAAACAGACAGACAGACAGGACAAAAACAATATACGCCTCGGATCTTTCGATGCGGGCGCATAAAAATATTGTCTCTAAGCTGACTAAACTACATAGTGTCATATTGTAAATGTTGAATTTACCAACTGACAACTAGTTGTCATGCTGTAAATTTTGTATGTACAGTAAAACTCGTTTAGTACGAACACGGATATTGCGAATTCACTGATATAGCGAAGTTATCTTGTATCCCCAGCTATATAAATTTTAAAATTTTCTTTATATGGATATACATGTAAGGAATTACGGATATAGCGAAGTAATTCCATAGGCCCCAGTGACTTCGCTATAACCGAGTTTTACTGTACTGCCACCGTTAAATTCAAAATTAACATGACAACAGAGAGGATTAATTGGCGATTAATTGATACATGGATGTATGAATAAGCAGATTTTTTGCGATCGATGCTTTGTATAACTTCTGTACAGACATCGTTTATTGAAGTTTTTACTTTTTCAATTAATAATTATATTTATGACTATTTCTTTCCACGTGATATTGATCACAATCAAAAATACACTGGTGTATAAAAAAACAACTAGAAAATACTTGTTATTTTACATGTATTTTAAAATAATATTACAGTAATGATATTAAATGTTTCTAAAACAAATGTTCTTTTTTTTTTTTTTAATCAACAATCTTATTTTTATAATTTGTTTATCTGAAATAGAATGAAGGCGCTCATTTAAAGAAGGTGACGAAGAAAATAGACGCAGCCTACCAGCCAATCAGAAAAGAGGTAAGTGAATTTACACGATATTATACCAGCCAATGAAAAATCATTTTTGACTCAGTTGGGTCAATCGGAATCCATATGAACAGTGATGAGTAATAATGAACAGCTCGTATTAATATTTTTTGGGCAGCATCCCTAAATAAAAAGATTGAAAAAGCATTCTGTATTTCATAAAAAAATTGATTAAAATCATTTATGAATATTAAAAAATAGTACATATACGCACCTGTGCTTTTATATGAATTAGATTCAATTGAGATGAACCAATTAGCTCTTTGGTATTTTTTATTCAGTTGAAAAGCCACGAAGATAGTGACGAGTATGAAATCGAAGACGAGGACTCGGAAGCTAAAATGGCGGAAAGAATGAGACAGGTAGACAAAGTGACACACAACAGACGCGGAAACCGGATGAAGAAGATAGAATCCGAAAACGACGAGAGCACGGCAAAGGACAGAGCAGAGAAATCCGAGAAAAAATACCGGAAAAAGCTAGAAATGAGATGTGAAGGTCAATTTTAATTGATT